GAAGCTCCCCAGAATAGGAATGTTGGCTATCTATAAGTAAGTCGCAGCTGGAGATCGGTAATAGTGCTCCTGGCGATGGGGAGGAGTGCTTTTATACCACAGGGGACAAAGATCGAAAGTTCAATGAGGGTAGGGTGGTTAAAGTTTGAACCAGGGATAGGGTACTGCGACATAGTAACACAGTTGGTCTTTATTTTTAACAAAAACCATTAATCATTGCTTGATATATTGCACGGTACAGGGTGCTTTTTCTCAAAAAATTTTTTTATTTTGATTTGATGTCGTAATAATGTGTTGAATCTGCTCATAAGTTTGCCTGATCGGATAATTCAAATGCAGCATAGCTGTAGATAGAAATGCATATCGGAAGGTCTGCGCTAGTGTCTTAAGCTTGCTTTCAAACCAGAGGAATTTTGCATAGTAAATAATTCAAAGTCTGCTTCCGATCCTTTTTGTATCTTTGATCATTTTCCTTGTTTCTAAAAGAGATAGTGCAAAATTTACCATGTAATGCAACTATATTTTTTTCCTAATTCGCTTTCTTCTATTCCAAACTTTCCCAGCCTTCTTGAACTTACTTGGAAAATGACCTCAAGCAGTACTGTCACTTTGAACGGTCTAGCCATTGCTGAAAAGTTCTTCAAAACGCTTTAGAGTGAGTTCTTTAGTGCAGCAGACTTAAACTGGAAGATGTATTCAGCTGCGGAAGCGAAGGGTACGTGTAAGCAGACTGATCAGAATTGCGCGTCTACAGAAAGTATTTGTGGATGCTGCACACTCGGATGTACACTGTCGATTGCTGAACGCCTATCTACTCGACCAAAATGCTGCTGATGGAGCATGCCAAATCGTAAGCAAGCATTTTTTTATTTGGAAGCTTTTATCTATTGTCGTGTTCATCGCAGTAAAACTTAGCCCATCCCCGAACGAAATACCCAAAAAAGACCTCACTGGAATGCATCCATATGTTTTTACCTCCTGTTTTTCAACTTGTGGCAAACCAAAATTCCAAGCGCGAGCTAAGATTAAAAATTCACAACAGTGAATTTTTAATCTTAGCTCGCGCTTGGAATTTTGAAAAAATCCGAAATTTGACATTTGTCTTGAAGTAACCATTTAAAAGGCTCATTTAATAAGTACGTTCGTTGAAAATCACAAAACTGCGACGATCCTCTTGCACACTTCTTTAGTTTATTATCGGGACTTGCTTCTTTGCAGGTCTCGGCAGGAAAAATCAGTTTCTCTTTACTCTCGTACGTTAGTTATTCCACTGGAAAATTTATGTGAGTTTAATAATATTAGACAAATTTTCTAAAAAAAACACGTGTTTTTCGCATCCGTTCACGATCCATTCGCATTTAAGTGCATTCACGGCCTACCAGTTCACAAGAAGAAAATGATTTTTAAGAAAACTAATTAGACCTGAAGAAGTCTAACACCTGAAATTTTGTGCAAAGAGGGCGCAACGATTATTCTTCTATAGTTTGCAGGAACTCTATGGCTAACAAAGAAGACAACTGTCAAAAAAATCTTTCAGGTGAGCAACGTATATACAATCAAAGCACATACACGAGGCCGTGACCCGCATACGTGGATTTTTTCAACATCAGTAATTTTTTTCACTTTTTACTTCAGAGCAACATTTTTCGGGAAAATTTAAACCGCTGAAGAACTCATACTTCTTTATCAGTGAACTTTTTTGCTTCATTATTGTTAGTTCTATCTAACTCACAATTCATTTGAACAAACTGCCCGAAAGAAGTTCAGAAACTTGAGGATTAGAGACTAAATCAGCATTTAACATATACTGTCATGAATCCCATTTATAACTAAAAAGAAAAAAAAAAACTAATTTTAAAAGTTCACAAAAGTCACTTCGTTTCTTACGATTTTATACCCACTGACCAAATTAGCATTATCTTAAAAAAACAGCATTTCTATTTCCCAGTCAATTTAGGCACTCGGCATAGCTTCGCTTGGTGCAAATTTTTGTTTTCTAACACAGTCCTATATTTGCTCGCCGAATTAATTTAATTTTTTATGCATTTTTTATTCCCTAACAATTCGGACCTTGATAAATTCAAAGGAACAGGAAACATTTTGCAGTTACTTAAAATGATAAAACTTTGTAGATTTCTTCTTTCTGAATAATTTTCGTCCAAATCGAGAAAATCACTTCGCTCTCTAACTGAGTTAAAAGCTGAGTAAAGTCGGAAGGACATCAAAATACATTGCCCAGACAGCTCATTTTCAAACTGTGGAGCAAACGTAAGAAATAATACGTTTAAGGAACAGGAAGCATCGCTCGACTATCCATCATTTATCGTTCGCTCAAACTATAAGCAGAAAAGTGTAGTACTTTGTCTAGAGGCTACTACTGTATCTTCGAATCAGGTAACCGAAACCATCAATCCTTTATTCGCCGTACTACAAGTGCCGTCTAGTGTTTCAACAATAAAAATACCTAACCTGTAATTATACCAACATTTTCTTCAAAAGTTTTTTAAAATTACGACTACTTTTATGCGCTTTTCGTTCTGATGCTACACAAAATTGCATAGAAAGCCGTATTCGCCAAACACTGTAGGAAAATTTAGCTGTCAACTCCAAACTATAACAGAAATAACATTCACAATTTGGTTCATTCATTTTCAGACAGGAGAAATACAGGAACAGTCGCTGGGTTGTATTACGCTACCAATT